CGTTGTTCCACCTTGTTTTTGGAAGGACGAGGTCGGCGGCGAAGGCGGGAAGCAATCGATTCGCGGATTGAGGATTGCGCCTGCGCACACGCCTGAATGCCAAATGCGGGACTTCTCAGGGCCGGCAGAGGGGCGTCGGTGGTATGGGGGGCGGGGCCATATCAGTGAAATGATCACAATCTCAACACAAAATTTGTGTTTGGCGCAGACATTTTTTACTGTGCTGGGGACCCGCGAAGATAACCGAAAGATGATGAAGATGAAGCAGCAGCAAATCTGCAAAAAGTCCGGGGAATGTACGAACCCCCCTCGCCTGTCTGGGCCGAGTCCAGGGCCTGGCCAGGTTCTTTTTGGCCAGATCCTCGACCAACGTCGTGTTGTCATAATGAATGGTGCAGCTTAAGTCATTTCATTTTGGAGCTGGTCGTCCAGGCTGCTGCGTTTTTTATAGTGCTGCTGGCGCCATGAAATATTAAATTACGAGCTGCTGTTTGCGATCACCCCGTATTCCCTTCCCCCTACCCACCGCTCCAACCGCCAGGGCCCTTTCCTCATTAGGCGCGGAGACATTCCACATACGCCGTGTGTGTTTTGGCTTCGTTTGGCGAACGAACGAACGGACGAAATTAATAACTAAAACGTAGCAGCCCCATAAAAAAGGGAAGCCAGCGAAATCGATCCACGAATCGGGATAAATTGAAATTCCAACTTGCAGAATTAATAAGTTAATTTCTGCAAACGCTCCTCGTTGGCTCACATATTGAAATGTTTTGCATAATTGCAGAGAGCTCTTCGCCCGTTTATGTTGGCCCGTTTATGACTTTGGCTAATTTCGTATGTCGATGAGGGCAGCCGAGGGCGGAGGGGCGGCTTTTACGATGCGGCCTGCCATTAAAAAGGTTAAAGTTGAGGCTCAGTCGCTTAATGACTACTCCGGGGCGACTTGGGGCTCATGTTAATTTTTCGGACATTTATGGCCGAGGGTTGACACATGCTTGCGGGAATCCTTGTGACGGTTAATGGGGTGCTGAGTTTATAGAAAATCTTAGAAGGATTGTGGGTGGATTAGAGGTATTTATATGTCAGGGGCTAGGTAGCTATAAGTATAATAAACATTATCTTTAATGATATTAATGTAAACTTAATGGTTCGGGTCTTAAGTAGTAAACTTTAAAGGTCAAATTAGTTGTGTACTTAATATACGATTTATTTTATTTCACTGCCATTGCCACAATTTCGACCAGAACTTTGACTCGTATGGCCAGTAAATGTGGTCGAAATCAAATAACGATAAAAAATCACACGAATATTAATTCGCAGAACTGCAGAAAGACCTTTGGCCAAAAGGCAGGCGAAAGCCAAAGGCAATGCCAGCCGAAACTGTTAAGGAAATTTATAGTTGCGGTCTAGGAGGAGAGACCGCAATCGCTAGAGTCCCAGTTCCAGTTTAAGTTTAGGCTTTCAGCCGCGATTCTCCTTGCCATTCCACAGCTGGTCGTGTGAGAATGTTTGGGGCACATGTGCCCCAGTCCTCGTCCTCGCCATCATTCTCTGCCTTGTCCTGATCTCGGACTCAACCCCGGGATCAACTGCAGAAAGCCAAACAGAAAAAAAAAACAGAGAAATACATTTAAAAGAATCCAATTCAACTACTGGCCAAGTCCGAAGCTCTCCAGTCTAATGCCAGTGCCAAAGTCTTTGTTTCTGCCTGCCCTCTCCGCTTTTATGCGATCCACTTCCAAGGAAGTGCCAGCTTAGGCCCGACGATGAAAATATTTGTACATATATATAAGTATTTGAGCTCAGACTTATCGCCAAACAAGATCAATAAGCACGATATCAATATACTCTTGGTGTTGTTTCAGCTTTCGAACAGAAAAAAAAAACACGGCTGGTCGGTCTGATATTCGAACATATTTTCAGTGGGGCACCGGAGGGTTAACAGGCCGATTGATAAATGTGGGTGAGGGTGTAGAAAATTAAAATAATTCATAAATTTTGAAGGAGGAACCAGTCCAAGCTCTGATAATAATAACACTTTTTGACTATCCCTTTATGAGAGCTTTTAATCTGTGTATCCTGAAAATAAAGTAAGTAAGGGTGATATTTTTATATATAAATCTATATTTTATTTAATACTCTTACTCACCTTTTAAAAAGCTTAAAAAGAAGGCACACAATCACCTTTGATGACGACTAATCGGCCAATAATTCGGGTTCAGAATGCCCCTCTGTCTGGCCGAATTTGTCTCGCTCGTCAAACTCACTGGACAGATTAACATTTGTATATATCGTTATAATTTTTGGGCTATTTATAGTAGGTTTGCAGCCGAATAAAAAAAAAATATGAAATGGCAATACAATTCCACCGAATCCAGATGATGGCAGAGGACGATCGGATTGGATGGTTCGGTTACTTAGATTGCTTCAGTTACTACACCGACTACGAGCCCAGGGCCAGTATCTTTTTGTGTTTACTTCTGCTGTTTGTTTGCTTACCTTTGTGGCATTTGCATATTTTGAATGTTCGCGGGCGACTCGTGGCACGTTTTATAGCAATTCGCGCGGGGGCGGGGAAGGGAAACCCCTTCAGAAAGGAAACTTTATCGATGATGGTGTGGGCGAGTCATGCGGCTGGCTGGGTCTCCCAGCGACGACCTTTTCATAGTTCTCCATGTCCCTGGTTGTTCGTTCTCCGACTCGGCTGTTGTCAAACAATTGTCACAACGTGTCGGCATTCACACGAACTTTATGTTTTATCCAACACCTCGGCACAAATCTCTCAAGGGTTAAAGTTTGCCAAAATTTTCGAGTGCCCCGTGGAATTCCCCCCCGATGGCGTGGGGGTGGGTGATCCCATCCACTGGGGTGATCCATCGCCCTACCGCATTGCACTGACTGGTTCATCAATAGCATTCGAATAAACCGACTCAGTGGCAGCATCGGCGGTGTTCCATCAAAAGTTGCCTGCAATTGTACAAAAACCAACACTCCAACTGAAGGGTCCTTCAGTTCTTGGCTAATAATAATGAGCGGAACCACAGCGGTTTCATTGTTCTGGCTCCGCCATCCCCTCCACCGTCGCCCAAATATGTATTTATTATATTTATGGCACAATTTTACTTTTCAAACAAACAAAAAAAAAAAACATAAAAAACCAACAAAGCCCGGGGTGAACAAAAAGAAACACTTGTGCCTTGGGCCTCTCAACTGACAGGCGGAATATCTTTTTTCTCGCGATCGATCGCAGAACCTGGCAAGGAAATCGATGGATCGATGGATGGATTGGCTCCTTTGCTGAATAGATCACTCAACCGTAATGAATTATTGATGGACTGATCGTCCGACCGATCGGAGGGTATGAAAAAAATCACACACTCACAAAAAGAATAACTGAAGTCGAGAGATGAAATGTAATCAGAGCTCGGCCGAGCTTTGACTTAATGTGGCAGTTCAACCAGATCGATATGTCCATACAACCGAATCGATCGATTCGCTCAAGTTTTGTGACTTTGTCAAGTCCTCCTCCTCGGTCCGGTGCTTTTGCTCCTTGCTCCTTTTTATTTGTGATATATTGTTTCGGTAGCAGTTTGTTAAACGTGATCAATTTTTAATTACCCATCATCGTCATCATCATCATTGAGGTCCCTGCAATCGAAGGCATCCATCGATTGTCGTATCAATCGCACCGCACAGAATGTAACTCGGACGTTTGTCGCATGTCATTCCAACGATTTATGCCCCGAGCGAGCGACTTTAATAAATGTGTCTTTTGCCGCATTTGGGCTCCAGTTCCCCCACTCCAGCTTGTCCACACTGCCCCATACCATTGCCACTGATTGAGGCGACTTTGTCACCGATGATGTGGCGCCGATGATGTGGTCTCCGCATCCAAGTCACCCGAGTCCCAGTTACCATTTAGAGCGTGTGTGCGCAAAATGCTTAATTAGTTTTTGTCTAATTAACACTTGCAACATGGCGAAAGCGACTGGAGTCGTGTGCCACCAAAGGCGTGAAGATCAAAAGGTAGACATGGACTACTTTGACGATCTTAGTGCCTGGGGAATCATTTCGACTGCGGTGGACCATGAAATGGGATGTCTTTGAAGCTAAACTTTAAGCTAAAATTCCTCACTGTATTCTTCATTTAATTCCTTTGGCATTCAAAGGTCAACAAATAATTTATTATCAAATAGTCCCTGCATTCTTTCATCCTTTTAATTTAAAACTCTGGCTCAGCCGGACCAACAACATAATTTCTTTGTCTGCACACGCCCATTTTGCCACCAGGCTTCCACTGAATTTGCTAAACTTGCGGCATCCAGGACTCCAAGTGGCAAAGGTTCCAGGGTTCTTGGAGCCCTTAGGCTTTGCAGAAATTGCGGTGAACGCCCACAGCACGCGCCGTCCAAAGAAAAAAGGGGAAAACAAAACCAAGGAGGTGATGTCGGGAATGCCGAGAGGCAAGAACCTAATATAAGCAGCCAAGCTGGCTGCCAAAACTCCAGTGAAAATATTTGCCACTTGAGATTCGTTGGAGCTCCCCCCACCTCTCCCACGGCCCTCCTGCCCTGGCCACTTGGAGGCTCTTGGCGCGCGAGTTTATTTATTTTCGAACGGGGCGCAGAGCAACAAATTAAAAAGTAATTCTCGGGCGCAGCATAATTAGCTGCTAAGTGACACTAATGGGTCCGCAGTTGCACTGCCCCCAAAAATCCGCCCCGTTCTGGCCGCTGCACTTTTCCAGCCTCCATTCCTCGTTGTGTGTGGGCAATGGGAGTCTCTACTCAAACTGGTGAGTGAGTCTTCGTTGGTTTTGCTAATTGAGTTTTGTTTTCTTCCCCTTCTTCTTTCTTTTTTGGGGCTTCATTCCACATGGCCACTTGGCTCCCTTGCGGCTGCCAAGTTGGTTTGGCCCGGAAAATTGATGGGCCCGCTGAAAGCAAGGGTCTTGGCAGTGATGAAATCCGAACAGGTCTGGCAGTTAATCGGAGGCTGCCGTGCCATTTGTGTCAAGCAAAAATCAGTTTGATTCCCACATATCCCCTACAGCTACACTCGACGAGATCACGAAATGGTAAGTGTTCCTGAACTGGCAACCTGTATGGCTAATTTTTCGTTTTCAGGACACATCCCGTGAAGGTACGCCCAGCCTAGGCTCCTACAGGTCTTCAAAGGGTCCGAGTACTGGCTCATTGGAGGATGGCAGCTCTTTTGAAGATCTGAGCAGACCTTTCTCGAGACATACCAGGAATAAGTCAGCCAAAAGCAAGAGCCTACAGGGGTCAAACCTTGATGTGATATCCCGCTTCCTTAAGGATCGAGATGCAGCGGCCTGCTCCAATACCACAGAGCGGTCCAGAGAGCCTAAGGATAAGGTCTCAAAAAGAAGTTTCTTCTACAAGGCCGAGGCTCAAAGCAAACACTCCAGGGAATCCTTTTCTTCTTCAGAAGTACATGATGCCAGGCCAGGGGATATTCGCGAAGACAGGCAATCCTATCTGAAATCGGATGAACCTGAAGTGCTCCAGAGTCGTTCCCATCAAAGTCAGCGATCCACCGACGGCTCCATGAGCTTTAGCCAAATATACAGTGAAATCTACGAGGAATCCAAGAAGCGTGAGAAGAAGGCTGAGCGGGCTTGTCGGAACTACCATATAAACAAATCAAAACTGCACAGAAATCAAGATATATCGGAATCCGGCAGCGCGGCATACGAGGGAAATAATGGCAGCTTGGGCTCCGAGTACTCCAGTTATTCGGCCAGGAGGTCCAGGGACTACGAATCCCGATCAATGGAAGACCGGGATTTTGAGAGCTTTGTGAGAGATCAACAGCAAAGCATCGTCGGCTACCAGGACCGTGAATCCTCGCGCAGCGAAAGGAGCTCCTTTAAGAGATTGATCGCGAGTGAATGGGAGGAATCTATTCCAGAGGATAATGAACTAGAAATAGATGTTCGCTCAAGTGCGACCTCTTCGAACAGAGTGTCCCGGCACTCAAGAGACTCGCAGAGATCTACGAAGGAAAGCCAGGGCTCTAGAAGCTCAGATAAAGACAGAGTATCGAGAGGATCTAGTTTTCGCAAGTCTGACCATAAGTATTCTGAAAAATCATCTTCGAGGCAACAAGTATCTTCAGAGCGAGGAAAAAGTTCTGGTTATACCAGGTCCATGAAAACAAACTCGGTAAGCCTGCCTCCCGAAGAGACTTATGGAACTGAGTACGAAGACTACAAAAGTCAACGCTCTTCTACAAGTGCCTCTTTACGATCCGAATGCGAAGAAGATTATCTTCCGAGCAGCAGCACACGCCATCGTCATCATCATCATTATCGTCGCCTACAAGGTGAGCCCAAGACATATCAAGATCGTGGAAATAGTCCCATTAACATCAAGACATCGCGACATTCTATCGAAATGCAGGAACCTCAGGAAGACTTTGAATACGAGGGTGAGAATTCGTTGGGTAGGTCTCTTGAGTTCCATGACAGTTCCATGGGTAAATCAAGTATTTCGGTGGGTGTCCAGTATCCCAGCGAGGACGAAGGAGAGGCTCCCTATACTGAGGGAGGGGAAAGTTATATTTCCCAACAGCCTGAAAATCTTGAGGAAAACCCAAACACATGGTATACCGAGGAAATGGAAAGTAATATTTCCGAAAATCAGGAAAGTAATGAGGAAAAACCAACATGGTCTAGAAAGGAAAAGCAAGAGTCTATAATTGCCGAGGTTGTCACTCGAATGTTTAATGAGGAGTTGACAATGCAAAAATATAAATTATTGGATATTATAGCCAAACATGAAGGAGCTCAAATGGCAAATAAAACGGAGGACTCTTCATATAAACCAGCGGAATCACTAAGAGATGATAATGTCGAAAATATTAGCGCCTATGACGGGGCTTCACAGAATCCTACAAATTCGTGTTATTCCGAATGTGATCAGGTGATGAGTATGCCAAATAAAACTGAGGACTACGCGTATGAACCAGCGGAATCATTAAAAGATGATTATGAAGAAAATATTAGCGCCTATGAAGTGGCCTCACAGAACCCCACAAAATCGGTCTATTCCGAATATGATCAGGTGATGAGTACTGAAGAAAGTATGAAATCGGAACTGCCACTATCAGTAAAAGGTGATTACGACGAAAATATTAGCGCATATGAAGGGTCCTTAAAGAATCCAACAAATTCGGTTTATTCCCAATGTGATCAGGTGATAAATATGCCAAATAAAACGGAGGACTATTTGTATGAACCAGAAGAATCATTAAAAGATGATTATGATGAAAACATTTGCGGATATGAAGGGGCCTCACAGAATCCCACAAATTCGGTTTATTCTGAATGCGATCAGGTGATGAGTATGCCAAATAAAACGGAGGACTATTCGTATGAACCAGAGGAATCATTCAAAGATGATTATGACGAAAATATTAGCGGATATGAAGGGGCCTCACAGGATCTCACAAACTCGGTTTGTTCCGAATATGATCAGGTGACAAGTGCTGAAGAAAGTGTGAAATCAGAACTGCCACAAGAAGTAGTCCAACCGAAGCCAAAAAGCGCCTTTAATCTCAGGATATACAATGCTGACGAGGCGCTGATGATAATGCCAGAGAATTACAAAGGACCTGCCATCATTCTAGATGATGATGCTGAGTTTTTGGACATATCACTGACCGATGATGAGGAGCAGATCCGGGCCAAGCTGATGGCGGCAGCTCTGACCACCAAACGAACCAGTAGCTCCAGCAGCCCCTACACCAGTAGTCCCAAGACCAGTGCTAGTCCCTATTCCATCCAGCCGAGCATTGGCAGTTACCGACCAAGTGTCATCTTCAGTCGCCGATCGGAGGAGGACGAGGAGGATCCTCCGCCACGCCCCAAAAGTCGCATTGCCCTCCTGGCCGAGCAAACCCTGAGGCACTGCTCCCAGAATTATACTAACGTGATGCCTTTGAAGATTAGGGGGGTTCCCAACACGCTGTCCTTAGACGAATGGAACGGCACTTCGCGACTCAAAGCTGACCGCCAGATCCTGGCCGAGGAGTTCCAAAAAAAGTTTAACCGCCAGCTGAAAATTGTTGCGGAGAGTTTTCAATGAATTGTTTTGGATGTATATATTTTTTATTAGCAATTCTATATTGAATATAACTCGTAATTTGTTACGAAAAAAAATTAAGTGCTGTTTAAAAATAGTTATTTTTTCAGAGAGTCCTTACTGTATAGGGGAATCTATCTAGCAAATATACAAAAAAAAAAATGTATGAGTATAGATTATTTTAAATAATTCGTAAAGAAAGAAAACTGAAACCAACTTTAAACAAAAGCCATAGCATTTCCTCTGAAGGCTATGGTTCTTGGTTTGAATTTAGTTCACCGACTTGGTTTGGTTATGGAAACTAAGTACTTGAAACTTTCAGCGACCTGGATGGGCCGCCTGGCAGTCTGCTGGTTCTCCTTGGCCGTGTCTACGTTCTGGGTCCTCTGCCGAGGTGCATAAATCAACTTTAGTGCTGGCCAAGTATCTTGCTGAAGGGCGCAGTTGTCGAGTGGGAGACGAGAGTGGAACCCCCTACTCCAATCCGGAGCATAATTAGTCCATGGCTACTGTTAGTCTAGGCGGTGCACTTGCTGCCACGCCCCGCTGCCTCCCGGTGGCCATTCATTTTCCTGACACATACTAAATATGCTGGAGTTGTTTACATGATCGATCAGGGCCCGGGTCTCAGGTCCCTGGCCTATGCTCGCCTTCATGATCAAGATGCTCTGGATTGGGAGATGCTCGGGATGCTGGGGATGCATCTAATTGCTAACCAAACAACTGCAGCCGAGCAGATCGCGCAAATATTGTTTTAAGGCCTATCAACATATTTCACCTGCCTAATGCCTAATGCCTGATTCGTATAGGTTTAGACTTGTTTTTGGAGGCGATGTTGCTGTATTCATTCCCTACTTTTCTCTTGTAATGATGTGTGTCTGGAAATGTTTATAATTTACGATACAATGCAATGCATTCTAGGTTCTAGGGACAGAGATTTCCAAACTTTCCATAGATAGCTGAGACATTTCATGTAATACGTTATCCAATCAAATGAGTCATGTTCCTATTTCCCACACACATAATTGCGAAGAGCCCACTATGACTTTTGTGGTCGTCAGGTGAACGCACACGGGGCATAATTTAGACAATTCCCTTCATTTATTGTGAAAAATGCACTCAATTTATATGACTTGATTATATTTGCCTTCCTTTTTTGCCCAGACGCTGGCGAATGGCAGTGTTTGCTTAAGTCGCCGCCTGCCGCACAGATCCATGACACTGGCATGGCTAAAAAGACATGGCCAGGGACATGGTCTAAACAAGGCTGCGACAACAACACCCAGTTCTGGCCGCGATGGTGGATGGTGCGAGGGGTACGCCGGGGTATGAACCGCTCGAGGCGCACCCCACGCCAATTTATTAAAGCCAACACCAGGAAAATGCTGGAAGATGGACCGAGGCTCTCTACGAATCGACGGTTATCCTGGTTTAGGGGCCTATTGGATATGAAAAATGGCACGACGCTGCAAAGGCGCATATGCAAAATGCATAATTCATTTAACATTTTGTAAATCATTTGTTTGAATAGCACGATGACGATGATGCGCGGCTAGCTCCCATAGCTCCGGCTCCCACAGCCCCCCAGCCACTTTTGCCCTTCGATGGCCAATGGATGGCCCAGCTTCAATGCAACAACCTGCCGCAGCTGAGACTCCTTTCGGCCAACAGTTAAGCTATTCGTCTGCCCTGACAAATCGAGAGTTGGACTGGACCAGGATCGAGCTGGGATCGGGCTGGGGACCCCAGAAGAAGTATATAGCCCGGTCGCGGCGAGGTGCAGGCAAGAGTTGCAGTCCCGATGCCGATGCAACAACACAATGGCCATGACGGTGCGCAAATATAATTTCACAACTGTCTGCACATGCTCCAAACGGAACGAGACACACCATAAAGGTGAAACGGCACTGAAAGAAATAATATTATATTGCAGCTTTCAAGTTTAAACATATAGTACAAAAGGCAATGAGAAATGCCGGACTATTTTTTAACTATTCTATCAGTTTCTACTAGTCTAATAGTTCCTGTAAGAGTAGATATTGTAAACCCTTCTTACTAAATTATAAAAAAAAATTATATAATATCTCTAAATAATTATTTGAAGAATGAGAATATAAACCGTTGTGGTTCTCTCAGTGCCACCTCAAGACGAAAGCAACAGTGTCCAAGACTTGGAAAGAGCTCAGCCATAAGTCACTAAGCCGCAACGACTTTTCAGCTGGGGATAAGCCTTTTTATTATTATTTGTATTTGCCTCATCTTTTTACCTTTTGATTCTTGTGAAATTTGCATGCATTCGGATGATTCCGATACCAATTCCAGCCCGATCCCGATCCCGATCCCAGACCAATCGCAGTCCCAAGTCCGATCCCGATCCGAATCCTCCTCCAACCGAGCTAATTTCGTTTTGTGTGCGAATATTGAAAAATTACAAAAGTTTTGATGCAAGTGGGGGTGTAGGGAAAACAGGGATATAGCTGGTTTTTTTTAGTGGTCCATTGAGATTTCTTGGGAACCCAGTTTTGTTGTGGCCTGGCACCGTCTGTAATTTTAATGATCCTCCACTGACATCGTAACTCAATAAGCCTCGCCAGACAGACAGTCTGGGATCAGAGCGGATCGCCAGATCGACTGGCTGGCTGGCTGGCTTTCCCAGCCAGCAATTTATCATCTTTGGTTGCACTTCGAAAAGTAATTAAGGTTTCTCCCAAGTTGCGTGTGGTCGGGGGGTTGGGGCATTTTCTTGGGGTGTGTTCCCAGCGAAAACTATTGTAACTCGAGTGTGGCGTTAAATTTTTGATTAAAAAACTATTAGCCAAGTGTAAAAATTATCGTTAATGTGTTGGGTGAGCGTGTGTGGTGGTGCCAATGCGTCTGGGCCAGATCCAAGCTGTTCCAACACCTTTTATCGATTTTTTGTATTTTCGGACTAGATTATTAAAGTCTTTTGTATTCTTTGGGCGCGGCGATCAAAGTGTTGGAATTAATGGAGTTTTTTTTTATTGTAAATTTTGATTAAGTGTATAGCGAATAAAATTTTTGACAAAGCAGAGTAATAGAGATTTTAAATGGTTAAAGGTTTAAGGTAAAAACGAGTACCGGGTATAAAAATGGATTAAATATCTGTGCAATTGTTACTAAAATTTAATTAAATAGATTTTTTAAAGACTTCATGTATTCAGTTTGTAATAATTGTGACAGACTCCTAGAAAATTAATTGCATTATAAATAGGCAACCACAAATACCGCCACCCAATGCGGCTGCAAAAAATGAAACCACACAAAATATAAAACAAACAATAGTGTTTATAAATCAGTTTAGAAATCATAACAAGTATAAATTAATTGATGTAATTTAAATGTCGGGTCATATTTGGGCCCACAAACTGCAGCCAGAGACAGCAATGTGAGCGGCATGAATGTATGAATGTTAGTTGGTTCGTTGGATCAATTTAAGCGCCCGGGGGCCCTGTCACTCGTTGGGTCTTTGCCTGCCTATTTCCCCAGTTGGCTGCAGTTAGCCTCACCCCCTCCCCAGCCGCCTGACTCCTATGGCCGGCCCCCGACCACCCCACCCACTCCCAGTGCCATTCACCTACCTTGTCTATGAGTCGCAGTCGACGGCAGTTTCCGTCGTCAATTTATAAACGCGTTCAGCTTAAATTGCAACAAATAGTCGCTTATTGAAACTTAAATTGTGCCGACACAGAAAGTGAACGAGCCGGCGAACAGTCGCCCGGTTGTGCGAAAGAGAGGGCCTCAGCTCGACTAGAAAGAGACGGGGCCGGAGAGCAATGGTCGGTGTAGGTTTTGGGTTTTGTGTCAACAAGTTTTTCTTTCTCGCTTTTGGCCATTTTATTTTTGATTTTTTTTAGTTTGTTCGGTTTTTGTTTTGTGTCAGTTGTTGACGTTGTTTGGTTGTTGTGTGGTCGTGGCTTGATTTGTTTAAAGGTTTCTGGTTCTGGACTTTAGTCATGGGAACGAAGCTGGCTGGGGTATGGCTTTGTCTAACTATTTGTGGAATTTAGAATTCTAGCTTAAATTGATTAAAAAATTATAATTATTTTCTACCTTTCCGACATATGCAACTTTTGACATTGGCAATTAACTCTGGCTGCCATTTCTTCCAATCAAAAGAGAAACATCTTATATGGGACCCGCTTGTTCTGGCCGTAAACGTAAGCCAACCGAAATCAAACCAAGGCAAACTCGTTTTATGGCCAACATTAGCCAGCGGAATCCAGATACAACATTTAATTGCACGCCACAACAGTTTTCTGGCTGATTTCTTCCTTTAATTTCAATTCCACACACAGGTAAGCCACAGGTAAGCCTCTGTCTTGACGGGCAGGGCCAGATTACAAGGGGGCATTTGGGGCATTTGGGGGCTCAGAGGGGCTGTTCGTAGAAAGCCGCAACAGGCAGAGCAAATTTTGTCGACAGCCGGCTGCGGCAATATAATTTCTTTCGATTAATCCAATCGATTTCTATTCAATAAATCAAAATATGAATTCGTTATGGCCCCGGTGCCGACCCCCTCTTTCGGCTATCCTAGACCCATGGTGTATGTGTGCCTCTGTGTCCGTTTGAGGCACGTAACAAATTGTCGGGTTAATTAAAAAAACATAAATCGTTTGATTCTTTTTTATCCACACTCACTCACCCTCTCCCCCGGTTCCATACCCTTGAGTCTTCTACTAAATAACCGTGGCAGGTCTTTGACGGCCCTTTCATCAACTGGAATTCCCAAACAAAGAAATTTTCGTAAAATAAATCACACACACACTTTTCGCCAGAAAATAATTTCACTTTAGACACTTTTTCTCACTGCTACGCGAGGGCTAATCTTTTGTTTATAATTTATTTTGGCAGCCCTCTGTTCATCGCTCTGGGCCCGTAAATCGCTGGCCATTAAGACATTTTGATGACTTTTCGCCTCTGGAAACTTGATCTGCGTCCCCCTCACATACCACACCATTAAAAATGTGTTTTTTTTGGCAACGTCCGCCAAACCAATCAAAACAAATTAACAAACATTTTCAATAAATATTCATGACGGAATTCCGTCAAATAAAAATGTGCAGCAGCGTTCGTAAAAAATGAGTTTAATTAACAGATCGGAAAAATTTGCAAATTTCATTTGCATATTGAATTAATCGGAACGAGTGGAATGGACTAAAAGCGTGTGGGAACCATATCGATTTTTTTAGAAATCAGATCAAGGTTTCAAATTAAATTCAAATCGAACGAGGAAATCGAATCAAACCCCCAAAAAAGTGATGCCATTTCGAATGTGTAATTTGATAGCTTTTATAAATTTAATAAAAGCCAATTATTTTATACCCATTCATAAATAAAAAAGCATTCAATTATAGTTTTCTCTTTTTATTTTTCTTGAAGGTTTTTGTGGGTTTTCTGGATGTTGGTTTTTATGACAACTCTTTAATTGTATTCTGCATACTTAAGCTTGAAGAAATCTAAGGCCGAAAATGTATGTACGTATATGCGATGCACTTTCCAATCCCCTTTCGATGCTGGACTCTTTTTTTTACAGTGTAGTTAGCGTTTTTTTTTTGTACTAGAAAGCTTTAGGGTTGGGAACGGGACGATAATGAAGGGGTGACAGCAGCTTCGACAAAAAATTAGCTAAATCTTATCAGCTAAATAGTAAATATGCTTAAGTATTTTTTAAATGTAGAGTTAAGAGTACGATTTATACATTTATGCGGTATTTAACTCATATTTTATACATTTACACTTAATGGATTTTTATCATTTTTAGTTTGTTTTGTTTTTCAACTAGAAAACTACGTTTAAGTTTACATAACATTAAATAGCAAAAAATTAGGCGATTTCTTGTCATAATTTCTTATCTTTTTGTGTTTGTTTTTTTGTATATTAATATTTAAAATACAATAATAATCATATTCAAAGACGATTCAAAATTTTAAATATAAGGAGTTCGATTTTCTTTTCGTTTTTTTTTCAACAGCAATTTTTCAATTATCAGGTAAAAAGTTTAAAGTATTTTCCTCAACTTTCAGAAATATTTGGTTTTCACATTGCGCCACAAGGGCCAAGTTCTGCAGCCGCTGGCAGCAGATCCAGTCCAGGGAGGAGCCCTCCTCCAGAGGGCCCTGTGGGGTGCCCACCGACAGCGGTGGTGGTATCGCCTCGAGCGCGGACGAAGACGGTGGCGGGGGCGGAGGCGGTGGTGGCGGCGGTGGCTCCTCGGGCCACCAGTTCTCCCACTCTCAATACGCCGTCGCCGCGCCAGGATGCATCAGATGGTGATGATGGTGGTGGTGTCCGAAGTGGTTCAGTGGGTTCATCGCGTCCGCGGTGCCACTAGGAGCTGCCGTGTGGTACCAGTCGCTGGGCGGGTGGTGCTGGGCAGCCGGGTGGTACAGCAAGTGGTGGTTGTGGTGCAGCATGGAGGCGGAGGCGGCTGCTGCTCCGGGGGAAGCTGCCGCAGCCACTGCCTGATGGTGATGATGGTGGGGGTGGTGGTGGTGCGAGGGTGGCGGGCCCAGGGGCGGCGGTAGATAGGCGGAGGCGGAAGCGGCCATCAGTTGCAGAGCAGGCGACGACTTGGAGTCACTTTGATGTGACACCAATTGCTGCGCCTGCTGCTGTTGCTGTTGCTGCTGCTGATGTTGCTGCTGTTGTTGTTGCTGCTGCTGCTGTTGCTGCAACAGGTGGGAGGCACTACTGCTGGTGGTGCTGCTGCTGCCGCTGCTCGAGGCCCCCAGGTGGACGCTGTGCATGGGATTCGGTTCTGATTTGATGGAGTGGGGCGAGGACTTGATGCCGCTGCCACCGCTCAGGCTGCTGACGCCACTGCTGCTGCCGGCGCTGCCGTCCAGTCGGGTAGAGGGTGGTGTCTGTGCCCCGCCGGTGATTATGCTCGAGCTGGAGCTCTCCTCGCCCTCGCTGTCATAGCCGAGCTCAGGACTCTTTTCGTCGATGTTGCCATGGACCTGGAAAGAGGATGAAAATAATTACAGGTATTAGAAAGGTTCTTAAAATTATTTAACAAATATTAAGTAATTTCTATATTTATTTTAAAGCTCAACTCACCTTCATGTGCTTGCGCAGAGAGGAGGGGTGTGTGTAGGACTTATCACAGCCATTGATCCGACAATTGTAGGGCTTATCCGATGTGTGCACATGGGAGTGCTTCTTTCGGTCCGAGGAGTTGGCAAATCGGCGATCGCAGCCCTCATGCTCGCACTTGAACGGCTTCTCGCCTGAAAGTAGGCAAGAAAAAAAAACACAATAAGTCTCAATAAATAAATGAGAAATGAAGAGTTCCTTTCTTATATGTATGTATACACTAAAACGTTGAGTATGTGTGGCAATAAATTTCATTATTTATGGGACACGCATTAAATAAATAATAGCACCAGCCAGCAGAGACGATGACCATTTATGGGCTCACAATTTTTTTATGAACTTCCCTGCCCGCGGACACACAATTTAATAAAGGTGGGAAAACTCGTGTGTCCAATATTTTTATAGGGAAAACAATAACAAAACAACAAGATATACAACTGGAAGGAAAAAAAATCATATAAATTATGCGGGATCAAGACACCCATTGTTCCAAAGACATTCAGAGAGAGAGACCCTTCGACCCGAATACGATTTTCACCTGTGCCGATGTCGATTGTCCTTTTTGTTATTTGTCGCTATGTCTCTCTGTCTCTGGCGATGCACAAGAACAATAGCGGCAAGGGTAAAGGGAAAAAGTCACAAGGTTAACGTTTATTATTTGATTCGTGTGTGCAACACCTTTTTTTTCTCCATCAAAAGTCGAGGGATAAAACTGTTTAGTTCGAAATACGAAGTGATATTTTATAGCTTATTAGAAAATTATCTTTTTCGGATAGTGGTGGGAAGAGGGCAGGTCTCTTGAGATCCTAACGAGAGTCCTAAACAGATAAAATCAGGGTTCAGCATAAATAAAAATTTTGATTTGAAAAACGTAACCTATAATTTGGCAATGGATTAAATAGGGTATACCCTAAGAAAAGGGAAGAGTTAGTTTTAAATGTTAATATCTAATTGATTGTTTAGTCGAGCTATCAATTTCAATCACTTGACGCATTAGCATTCAAAGCACCATAAACAAACTCAATAAAATGTGTATAGAAGCTGCGCGGACTAAGCCCATTTAGCATATGGCATTTATGTCGCAGATAAGCGGCCATTACATGCACCACAAGCTTTATGACAATTGCAGCTAAGCGGCTCAGAGCCCCCAATCTCGGCTCAGATACCCCATCGCCCCCTCGCCGAAAGTCTTCTGTCCTGGAGAGAAACCCACGCGGGGTACGATGACGATGACAATAATCGAACATTTTCACACCTCGAGCTTAAAGCGAACAAACCCATCAGAGGGACAGGGTGTGTGTGGTTGTGTGTGTCGTGGGTTAAAGAAAAGCTGCACAGCTGGGTTGCAGGTGGGGTATTTTTGTGTTTTTTTTTTGGGGCCGGGGTATGTGGGGCCGGGCTTTGTGCGTCTGCCTTATAAAAAGACATCCAGCGGTGACTTCGAGTCCAGCTCAACAAGTTTTCTGCTGGCTTTTTTCTCTCTCTCGATCTGTATGTAATTTAATACTAATTTATGTGCTTTATTATCCGAATTTGAATAAAGTTTTTATTTTTTGATGCGTAATAAGTCACAGAGCTGGGAGAATCGACAAACAGAAATCTGACAAAATGCTGTTCAATTCGAATGGCGTGTCGCATTGTGATTGTTGTTGTAGTTTCTATTAATTTGTCAAAATTTAAAACTCATAAATATGCATTACAAAGGTAACATCGTAGGGTACGGCTGGGACTCAATTATTTTGACAGGTATCCGGAGGCCCCAGGGCAGAACAAGCGATTCAAATGCAGTTCGATGCGCTACGGATTTATTTATTTCTCATTTTTTGGAGGGTACAACGTCAAGTGTCGGCTTTACCTTTGACTGAGACTGAGTGTTTTTTGATAGACTTGAAAAGTCTCTTTGGCGCCAGGGAAGTTTGAGTCTTACGTAACCAGTGTGCATCCAAAAAACGTTCTTAAAATTTTCCTCTGTCTCGTTAACACTCAGTTATCAAGCAAATGTGGAAAATGCTATCTTAAAAACACTAATTAGTCATAAATAGGACAGCCAGCTGACTTTGTTCCGCCAATAACCCGCTGGGCGAGTATCCGTGCTATCAGTCTTATCACCTTCGTTTCGGGGAACCCAGCGGCACACCAGCGGTGTCCCTATCCGAAGCGTAGCCGCCAGATATGCATGCTTGTTCCATGGTACGTGTATCCACACACATATCCATCTCCCGGTGAGCTGCGGTCTAAACTCAGCAGGGGAGAGGCAGAATGACGGCGATGCGAGGCGAAGCGGCACGCGCTGCGGCCGAGGACATTAAAGGGTTCGCGTCCCGGCTAAGTGCAGCCAGGATACGCATAATTTTCACATTCCAAACCGAAAGCTGGTGAGCATTAAAATTGAAATTTAAATATGTTTTATTGCTTTAAGTTTCGGGAGTCCAAGTCCGAATGGATGAGGAGGAGGAGGAGAGGGGGATATCCTATGGAAGAGCCGTAACCGAAAAATCGTCGCCCATTTATAAAATGTCAATTTCAGTCGAGGACGTTTTTCGGCTACTCCTTCCGACGAACCGGAATAAGGAAGCCCGACCCGACATGAAAGGCATCCTTGGCACACACCCTTTTTTATTTGGGGCTGGCTGGCAAGGCGCCATAAGTACAGTGAACACCCCCGCCAGGCCCCGGCCCGTGCCCTCAGTAAATCCCATTTAGGCTGTGCGAATCGACAAACTTATTTAAATATTTCAATAAAGTAAATCCAATGGCAAAGCCTCTCTGCGTATATTTTATATATATTTGTCCGGGGTCTGAGGCGTAACTGTGAAATAGGCCGCCTGCTTTGTGATTTGCATATTTAGCGGGAGTTTATACTTTTCCTCTTCTTTTGGAGGCGGAAAGCCCCCGAAATGGTTAATTTCCTAAAAAAAATCGCTTCTTGAGCGCGGAACGATTGGAAGTGGAACGGCCTGTCATGGCGGTTTGTGTACAGCTGCAAAGTTGTTGTTGTTGTTTGTTATTTGGGGTGGTTCTTATTTTTGGGGTTGCTCTGTAATCTCCTCTCTGGAACTTTGTGTGTGTGTGTGTAAGTGTGGCAGTATCTGTGCGTGGGTTCAGCCAAGAAACTTTTACATGGTTTTCTCTATATATATATTAATATATACGTATATACGTTACTATATGTGCGGCTTTGTTTGTTGTTATATATGGCACATGTTTCGGCTTTTATGTAACTGCTGCAAAGCTTGCTGTCATTTGCAGACGAGTGCCGAGCCGACGGCCTTTCCTCCCCCTGCTTTTGCTTTTTCCTTTCCTTGCCCCACATCCCTGCCCCCCTGCCTTTCCATTTTCCCGTCTGAAATTGTTTTTGTTGCGGCTATTATGGGGCGTTGTTTCTTTTTTTGCTTCTGGGGATGGGGACTTGGGTGCCCCCAAAGATGTTCTGATGTTTTTGGGCGTAGTCAGGCCACAAAAAAAGAGAATGGCTAAATGTCTAGTAAGTGTTTTCTTTAGGCCTGGCAGATACGTTTGAATATTTTGGATAAATGTATTTTTTTATTTGGGGGTGGCAGGGTAAACAATATGCTTTGGATTTTGAAAGATGGTTGGGATAGATTTGGGAGGAAAGTAAAATGTAAGGAACAAAAAATATTCCATCCAAAACTGTATTCATATTCAAACCCCCTTTAGTGATATAAATACCCGCTTTGAGGAAGCAACAGGAGTACGGCAGCCACCGCATCTTCCCCTGTATCCCCTATATAGTATCCTGTCTCTGGTCGTGATCGGTGCTAACCAAGCGATGCAAATTAAGCATCATTGACAGTCGCTGATTAATTGAAGTGAATCAGGTTTTTAATTTTCAGCAACAAACAACAGAAGATATTAAAAATACAAAATGCAACACAAATAAAACATTTTTTCAGCCGTCCAGACTGCCAGAGTGACAGTTGCTTATTAAAAGCATTTCGAAATGGAATTAATTTAAAAAAAAAGGCAAAAAAAACGCAAGTACAAAAAACGCAACAAAAAATGGAAATCCGCCAGCTAACAGAGGGAGCTAACAGAGCGTTAACAGAGATCCGATCCGTATACGCCTCGTTGGCTTAATTGCTGCTAAATAATTGCCCTGGTAAATATTTATTGCCTGCTTATAAGGAGCCCTCAGCACTCGCCCTCAAGTCGGAACAAAGGATATATTCCGAATTTCAACCGATTATTTCCCTCTCGCTCGCCTTTACATAAGGACACGGCAGAGGGAGAGGGAGCGGGAGCCAAATGATAGCAAGGGATGAGCATCATCATCGCTCATGTGTCAACAACATGCAATGCGATATGATTATTATTATCTAACAATACAATAACAAAACTGCTACTTTTTGCCTGCCTGGCTTGCCCTCGTCCTGTCCCTAGTGTTGTCCCTATCTGGATGTAGCCATCCCGTTTACCCACACGTATTATCCGTCTGGGTTGTTGACATTCTTCGGATTTGAGAATCCTGAGCTCATTGTGTATCTGTATCTGTTTGTTTGTTTGCTATACATTTTTTCCGCTGCTGTCGCTTCTTTTTCCCTCAGCCATGGTGCCCTTTGTTCGTACGGTTAAAGCCGGAAAAAGCCAAACCCCGATTTCCTGGCGGTTTACATTTCAATGGGCAATTTTCCCTCGCTCCCCCTATTTCTTCCTGGCGAATAGCTCCTTTACCAAGGATTTGTTAGGGGGCAGTGACTGTTGATGACAGAAATATTGTTCGGTTTCAGATTCCGAGACAAGAGTGAGATGTCCTGGTTAGGCAGGTGATTTTTAGGAGTATCAGGCACGAACTAAATTACGAAATAATTACATCATATAATTTATAGTCCCCAGTTTCCCTTTCAAACAGCCGAGGGAAATTTTCCCATAGACTCCTCGATTTGAATATTTATAACAATTGCCTGCTTTTGATGACCAAATTAATGGCAAACCATTCCGCTCCATTCCATGATAATAATAATAATAAAATCATAATTTAAGTGCAATGAATGCCGCTTGTCAACGGCCGAATGCAAAATCCTCGAGCTCATCATTATTATCATTCATGGGGAGGATGCTGCACCCCTAGACCAGAGACGTTACCTATGGGTCTGCCACACAGTCGGTCCATTGT